TAGCCAATTAAATATAATATTAGGTATCAAATTAGCTCAAACTAACATAGATCCGTAACAATGTCTGCACAATGTATACAACAAAACCTCTATTGAGCAAGGTTTTTTTTTAATATTGTTTTAAGGTCCTCGTAAATAGGTATAATTATAATATTGTAATTTGTACTATTCTTCGTAATAAATTCTGTATAAGAAGAGACAACATAACATCACTTATTAATAACAATATTCATGAGTTTAACCCTAAGCTTTATTTATACTATTTAAAGGTGTATTATAAAAATCGCAGAAAAATTATAAATACATAAACTGAGGTATTAACTTTATTTACTATTAAGTAGACATTATATATAAACGTAATTATGATTTATCTCCATTCTAGCTTATAATTTATTTAGCAATTTCAGTCACGCAGGTTTAAAAGGTTTTTTGTAGAAGTCATAATATGTATACTATTTCTTTTTTAGTACTTCGAGTTGTATTTATTATCTGGATTGTGGCTTGGGGTTATAATCAAAATATTGAATAACATATTTTTATCTTACATATCTTACAAGCGTATAGGTAAAAATGCTATGTTAGAAAATATAGTAATATTTTTTACCAATGTTGTGTGTTGCCTTTTCGGAGGATTAAAAGTCTTGCCACTGTACTGTGATTTCACTGCTTATCTCATCCCTCAACCACAATACAACTCACTGAGTTGCTTAGAGTCTTAAGTACGTAAAACAGAGGTACCCACGCAGACGACTTTCTAAAAAGTCTACTAAAAAGTTTCAAACTATTCATTAAAATGTGCCATCATCGCCTAAAATAAAACAAAACAGAAAATGCGCTTCTACAATACTTGAATAAACAAAATACGAATGTGTTATTTTCGTTCGTTTGCTGGATTTCTGTTTGAATAACTACGATATTTATTAGCACTGGAATTACTTTATCCTACACTGTTATCGGAGTTAGATAAGATTTGTTAATCTCTCTGTGACGCTGTGAAAATCGTGGTCAGTTGATTTTACCCAATTTAGGTATTATACATGTGGCCATGCATGTCAATATGAATTTATCTTAGTTTCAGTTCTTTACATTGTCTTTATAATTTAATTATTTTTCGAGTAGCTGAGATGTTATTATTATTGATAATAATAGTCATAACCGCAGGACAATTAGCACAGCATTATATAAATAGTTATAAATAATACCATCTATAGAAATAGTAAAATTATTTTGACAAATTATATTTACAAAAACGTGTAAGAGGTACTAGACCTATAACAGAAGCTCCGCTTAACTTGGGACTAGATGGCGTTGTGTAAATTGTCCAGGGATATTATTATTATAGAATACTTCAAAAATAAAAGACCATTTAGCTTGGAAATAGTAGCACATAGCACTTTTAAATTATTTTTATAATAGTGTTAAAGCTAGCTCACTAAAGGGTTAAGGTAATTGTAGTGACATAATTGTCGTCATAAGGTGGATGTAGAAGAAAGCACCAAACTTACAGGTAAAGCCAGAATGGCCATTCCTAATATCAATTTACTTGTATTTTATATTTCGCTCTATCTAGAGCACAGTCTGAATATTATCAAAGATAAAGTTAGGTAACATATACAAGGTTGTTTTGCTCAATGGTTATCAATAGTTGTGGTTTCATAATCGGTTAGATAATTGTTCAATGAATTATGTAGAGATTTCAATGTCATGTCAATGATAATGATAGTTTTATTTTATTGAAAAAGTTAATAAAACAAATAATAAAGAATAACTATAACTAACAGATTATTTAATACTTTAAAAAGATCTAGTCTGTAAAGAAATGCAGTAACTTCTATGCTATAACGTGTATTCAAAGTTACACTAGCAGGCTCCTATCAGATTTGGTTGAGCAAAGAGAAACACGAGCGGTGAAGGCGAGTGTCGACATACGTTGGGCAAAGGGCCCCTTAAAACCTACACCTTGATCAGAAATCCCGGGAACTGATCGAAGTTGTCCTATCTGTCACAAATTTATTCTTCCAACATTTAAATCAGCATAAAATATAATTACAAATGGGAACACTCATAAGGCAATTGAAAATAGAGGGTTTGCAGACAAATGACAACGTATGAATGTCACGAACGTATAATAACGTAAAATCTATGCTACTGTTCATTTATATAAGCAACAGTTACCACTAACTCTCACGTGAGGCGCCATCTTAATTGCCATTACAATTATATAAAAAAGTAAGAAAACAAAAGACTTGGCCTCACAATGAACTACTTAAACTGTTGAAAATTTATGCTTTAAGTTTTTTTTATTTAAACGTTCTTTTATTCTTCCATTAAATATAGTGTTGACGTGCTAAAAGTCATCCAATTTATTTGTGCTGTACAGTTTACGTTATGAGAAAAAAACTATCTTGATAATTATTATGCGTAGTTTACATATTACAACAGATCGAAGTAATTCATGCTATCATCAAATTTTAGTGATGTAACATATCGCATGCTTAATACAAAACTGCATTAACTCTATAATTTCAAATTTGGGATATCGACTTTAATAACTTTCAATTTAAAGTCTACTTTTCAATTTTTTATTTTTTTAGTTAAAGTAGTTAATATGGAGAGAGATATTTAATCTGAATCACGTTAATTCAGAATTAGTATTTTAAATTTGATATATTCAAAGTCAATTAAAATTAACTAACGTATCTTGCACAAGTTCTTAAATTTAACTATTATACTCCATAAATATATATTATATATCTCAAATACAATAAAGAGTATAAAATAAGAAGAGAAAGAGGAAAAAAATACAAATAATCTGTACAATAAACAAAATTTGATTGTTAATAGCGGACGAAGTATCGGGTAATAGCTAGCTATACTTACGGAAAAAACTAATTCGGTTCTAATAAGCATAATAGCATCAATAACAAAATGTTATCCAAATTAGACAAGTCAATACAACAAGTAACAAGAATTTAACACCATTATGTAAATACTCACACTAGTAACGGTATTCTATTCTAGTGAAACATTTAATTCTACTAATTTATATCGTATGCGTCGTCGTTTATTCTGAACTTCGTGGTTTAGATAAAAGACAGCCATCCGTCCTTGTGTTACAATGTAACATCACACCAAGTTTCTTTAAAATCCGTTTAGGCATTTTAACCTAAAAACAACAACTAAAGAAACGGATAGAGACGCCTGTTCAGAACATTGGAATTTATTTATAATATATATTGTTTATAATTATATTTAATATATTGTATACTAGTGATCTCTTGCGTCATAATATAGATCACGTCTTTGCAACATTTTTCATTGTTGCTCTGCTCTTATAGGTAATACGTGATATCTTATAGTCTTTTTCGATCAATGCACTATATAAATAACAATAGTAAATTATATGGTGGATGTTTATAATAAACATATGTATAACATTATTGTATTCATTCTACATGCTTATTTCAGTATAGGAAAAAATCCTAAATTAAAATTACTTTATTGCACTTTTCTGCAAGCACATTTGACATCGTTAACAATAATTATTGTGAGACTACAATTTAGCATTAATTTGAGTTGTTACAAAACATTGTGACAGTTAATTGACGATCGATAAAGCACTTTAATTAATGTCAATTCTCTTCATTGATTCCACGGGCCAGCTGATAACTATAGATAACTTTGATATTCTTTTAGTACAGATAAAATACATAACATTGATATTATATTATTTGGTTTTGCTTGCGTAAATTAATATAAAATGAACAAAAAAGATTTTTTTTGTTCATTTTATATTAATTTATATTATTAATCTTAATCTTATCTTATTATTAATCTTTAGAATTAAAGCGTGCAATAGTTCCTATGAATACCATAGAGACTATTGCACGCTTTAGATTTTTTTGTTGAATGATGATAAAATAATGCACCCGTTTGTGTTTATGGTTTAGGCTGGCGGGGCTCCAGTGGAGGATGCTAGGAGCATGAGGTCAAGTCAGGTGGCACATCGTAACAAATTTACAAGGAATTTATCAGGATGGTTTCCAGTCCTCGCGTGAATATCGACCTGATTTGTAAAATTGTTAATGATGGAGTAAAATTATATTTACCATTTAGGGGCGAAACATATTAGACAGAAAAAAATTACATCTATTTAGATAAAGTTTCTAACAAATAAATAAATTACAAATTTTACAAGAGATAAAACTCAATGTGTGTGTCAACTAGAAACAAAATTTAAATTTCGAGAATAATGAGACTTACTACATTTCTAGCAATCTATTCTATGGTTAACCACCAAGCAGTTCCCTTCAAAACTATCGTTGATTAATTTGTAGTGACTTCGCTAGTATAAACTAATAAACCTGACTTAACCCTCACTAGCGGAAGATAACTATTCTATAACCGGTCATAAAATGTATGTAAAGATCATACAACTATACTAAAACATCAAATGATTTATCGATGATCCAAAGTTCGACTATAATTACTCCCGCTAACTAATAAACGATAACTACACGTGATTATTAAACAAAACATAAATCTGCAGTATTTATTAGTGAGTGAATAACTTAAATATATGGATGATCGATGAACATCGATGTTTATTCCAATAACATTGATATCAAGCCATCGACATTTTGAAACATCGATGTTAAGTCACCACCATTAACGTCAAAGAGAATAATTCTAAATAGGATTCGATACTTGATGACCTAAAAAACAAGTAAATCTAAACGCGAAAGGACATGGTATCAGATCAGCCAAGAGAAAACATCGCATGTCGTATATCGATTGATATCGACATCAAAGTCAACATGTATGTTTTTCTAATACCGATAATACCTACTGTCAAGAATTGCAAGCAGGACTTTATTGCAAAACATATTTGTGACCTCTTTAATAATTTCCGTAACTGAAGGTATTTATTTATTTAAACACACTTGTAAAGTCATTATTCTTCAAAAATAGGTATTATAAGTACTATATATAATACATACCTAGATATAAAAGTAGTGTTCAGTAGCGACATCCCATATCTTGCACCTCTGTGAAAGAAATAATTTATTATTACTATGATGACAAGATAGTTTCTTACAAAAAATTTTAAAATGTGCTTTATTACAATTAATATATTTTTTAAAATAATATATCATTATAATATTATAAACGTTTGTGAGTATGGATGGATAGATGTTTATTACTCTATCATGCAAAAACTACCGAACGGATTTTAATGAAACTTTAATAAAATATAAAAGTTTATACATAAAATATCACAAGCTACAAATTACCGTGTACACAGCTAGTTGCTATATATATATATATATATATATACATATCTCAATTTAATTTCCCTAACAGTACCTGTATGAATCTTAACACTACACAATATTGCAATCAAGTATTCTTTATGAAACTACTTATTAAAGAATATTCGCATTTTCAACAATATTGCTACAATGTCAGCAATAAAAAATATTAACAACCGTCTACAGGGAATAAAATTATTTGCTCGAGTGATATACAAAGAAGTCGAATCAAAGAAAAGGAATGAAGCATTCAATAACGGTCTAACAATGGTTTCTCGAACAGCTGTTGCGAGGCACGCAACAGCTATTATTAAATTGTGCAGGTAAAATATCGCGAGATTTTAGACCATCCCTTTTTGGATAAAATAACTTACATTTTTATTACGTTTAAATGTGATTAAATGCACATAGTTGCGTATAGTTACTTATATTAATCCTATCTTTTATTGTAATGAATCCTTTTTAATCATTTATTCTGTTTTAATTTAGAAGTAAATGAGTATCTGCCTGTTGTTTGTTAATAACTAAACGGGTTAAGACGTGAAAATAGTTCATATCACAAGAAGAGCCGTTTATTATCTTATTTCACAATTAGCAGACTAAGTCTCGAGTAAAAGTTAACCGTATTTTTACATTTTTTACGCCTGCAAAACGACGCCTACATTTAACACTGACTTTGACTATTTTATATGATTGCTGTCCAGAAGCGTTATTTTAAATTTTAAGAGTGTAAGTACCACTAGAATAGTCAATTATAGTTCTAACAGATTTACATACTATCATCATCATCTGCTTCGTCCTTATCCCATTTATTTGAGGTCGACGTTATGTGTTATTCACTTCCATTCATCCCTGTTATTTACTCCTTTTCTTACCATATCATCTTTCACACAGTCCATCCAACTCTTTTTCGGCCTTCCTCTGCCCTTATACTATGTTGTTATTATATACTAGTGCATAGACGAATGCATTATTTTCTATGTATACATGATTCACAATCAGCCTGCTATGTAGGTCTCTGGGTTAAAGGTTATCGGTTATATACTTAATGACATGCAAATCTACTGCAGTAAAATACAGGGATATTTTATTTGTGACTATAGAAATTTACGATACTGGAAGTATTCAGGTTTAGAAATGATATAAATAAATTAATCTAACCTGTAATTTATAGCTTGGAATACCAGAGCATAATGTACACTTTACATAGACAACATAAAGAGCAGACGAAAAAGATGATATTTTTTTTTCTGTACATACCAAACATAAAGTAATAATAGGAAAGTGATCGAACATGGAAGGTATATTATTGTTAAGGCAATAAAATCCAAAACTACGAATATTAGATATTTAGCCATTAGTGTCTGCGCATATTGTCTGTGTGTTTGTGCATGCTAATCGCAGAAACAGCTTAACCGACTTTACTGCGGTTTTCACTAGTGTATTGTGATAAGGTTTACTTAAAAAAAATTGTATTCATTTTATTCCAAACGGTTTACAAATAAAAACGTTATAATCGATTGTTTCCGAATACCAACGGAACGATGTCTCGAATTCAGCTATGCATGTATAAATAACTATACATATATATATAGTTATAGCATATAAATAGCTAAGCATATAACAACCAAATGACAAAAATGTAGTTATTTGGATGACTATTTTTGCAAAATAGCGTATTCCAAGTTCATGCTTTTATAGATAGTTGTAAATGGCAGTGGAGGTGTGTTTTATTAACGCATACCACGTTTTTTATTAAATAAATTAGCCTTTACATTTTCATCAGGAAATACGCACTGGGATATTAGTTTAAATTGTAACAGATAGTCTTACAAGTGCCAAGTAAACATAACTTGATATTATTACATCCTTTTTAAGCTAAAAATTACTAAATTTGTTGCAATTTACGAATATCCTGATGCACTGGACTCTATGTGGCTAACTATTATTTAATCTATGGCCTTGTTATCGTATCAAATTTCTGTATTTGATAAAACAGTTTTTATGTGTTATTATAAAACATGTGTATTAATTCTGTATACATATCCACTAATGCACTTGACTTCATTCGCATATGCGTACGCGTTCATATGATGCCATATTGACGATCGTCAAAAGACATTTTTTATAACGCCATATTTTTAATAATAAATAAATTAAAAGAAACAGTTATAAGGCAAATATAAAATTAATAAGAAATAAATAATGATTTCTATTGGAGAACTTTTTCTAAAATATAATAATATGTTGATTCACTTTTAATAACATATTCAGTGAAAATTTCATCCTAAATATATTTTCACTTGAAAGCTTTACATAAACAGGCAAACAAACGATTTCGCCTTGTCAGAATTTTACAATTTTTGTACACGTATAGATAAAGATTAACGACAATCCGCAACTTAGATTACGTGGGATCGAGTATTAGTCATAATGCGTCATAGTCGCTGATTATATAATGTCCAGATAAAACACCGAATATACAAAGTATTAAAAAAACCGGTCGGCTGACTGTCAATTTGCTGACGTCTTTTAACAATACTCTGTAAAGAGATTAAGGTACACACGGGTACGTCAATTTGACTACTTTTATTTGAATTTATAAATACAGATAATTAAATGAAATGTCCATCATATTTTAATATATATTTAAAAGTATGATTAATGTATTTTCTCTCCTTTATTGAATATAGTCTGTTGGTAATGTACTAATATACATAAGTCCATATAAATTTTATCAGGACACAGGAATAAAGAAAATATGGATCAACACGCAAGTGAACAAGTCTTTTCTACTTTATTAATTTGTTTACACCCATATTGAGCTATACATCCAATCCCATGCAATTTCATAATACATATTATATAAGTTACTTAAAACAAAATTGACTTAAGTAAAAAATACGGTATATTTTTTACTAGACGTACCAAGCAAGTGTTTTTTTAATAAAAATATCTTATGTTCGACTCATGATAAAATCTATTACCATATCAAATTTCATTAAGATCCGTTCAGCCGTTTAGTCGCGAAAAGTTAATAAACAGACACAGACACACTTCCGCATTTATAATACTGATATAAATACTAACTGACGCAATAAAATATATCATATTATGTAATATTCTATCTGAGTAATATAAAGGTACACTTCAAAATTATATTTTAACCAGTCACAGTCAATTTGACTCTTTCACGTACATTAAGGAAAAGACTACTAAGCAAATATATAGAATCATACTAGTCAAATATTGGCGATATATTACAATAGTCGTTGTCGGTCATCTCATACCGAGAATTGCATGACGCAAAAAATACACAGTTCAAATTCTCAATACTTCCAATTCTCAACATGTCTATTATCACAAATAGTGACAAGGTTATATATCGATATGCACGGATAATATTTGACTTTGGTACAATTTATTTACAATTTATAGTATATTAATTGATACTAAAAGGTATACTATATTTAGTAATGCCGATCCTAGGAATTAGGTTCTGGCCTTTCTTGATGGTAAAAGATGCCATTTCTTCTTCAGCACTAAATCTTTATCTATATATCACTCAACAAAAAGTGCAATATAAAATTATATAAAACTGTAGCAGACATTGACATAAACGAAATACGTATTAAAAAATAACTTAAGTTTCACTTATCATTATTAAGTATAAAATATTTGCACGCATAAAATAGTAAGTACTTGTGTTATCCGCCATCTAAAATAACTGTAATTATATACCGCTGCAAATACCGTACGGGACATAAAACAAAAATGGCGATGAATGTTGCATATTACCAAATTTGACCATTCAAGAGACACTCGCTTTACATTAACGATTAGATACTGAATTAATTGGAGAGAAAAAGTGCAAAATACTGCAGGTGTATTTACAACAACTACTACCGTCATAGGATCATCAAATTTGTTATTTTTAAAGAATGGATTAAGAAAGAAATTTGTTTTATTTTTAATTAAAGAAATGGATGACTAAACAACAACACTTAATCATCCAATTTAGACGAATTAGTAATATACATGTAGGTACATATTACAAATATATGTATTTTGAAGGGCGTTGGTATTAACGACATATTTTAAACTTCTGTGTATGTTTGTCTTTTTTTTTCAATACAATAATATTGTATCGATATTTGTGTTCCAAATAAAACTTATAATTATTTTTATATTATTATTATATACTGGCTATACCCTAGTCAGTTAGTTTTTGCATCATTACAGCTTCGCTTATACCAGTTACAGTGTCATATTATAGAGCCTATAGCCATCCTGAATAAATGGGTCATCCAACACTAAAGGAATTTTCAAAATCGCTACAATAATATCGGAGATTGCAGCGAATATATAAATTAACTTTACCTCCTCACAATATTAGTCTAAATATTAATATGTATACAATAATAAACCCTGCATAATATATTACCTAATTTATTTATTATATTGTCACTTTTTATAAGAACTACACCTGTCTCTTTATAATGACCTCACTTTATACACATTCGTAATGCATTTACTACATGCTTCATGCCCGACATGAGTTAATATCATGATGTAAACACATATTCAGGTGTCATCCTTAGTAAACAATATTAATATGACAGCTTATGAGGGACTGCTACTACTTATAAAAATGAGTAATTTAAATGTAAATCAGAATTAATTTCGTTTCTTTGTGATTGTTTTATTACTAAAACATAAGTACCTATACCAAAAAA